CAAAATTAAATTAATAATTATTTACTATAGGTATATTTATTCATATTTCGTATAATTTTTCGATTCTCTCGATAAATAATAATAGTTGATTATTCTTATCATACGAGCAGACGATTTTAACTTCGAGTGATTTTTCGAGAGATTCACTCGATTATGAAAATGTCTCGATTACTAATCATTCGATTATCGAAATCATTCGATTATGCCCATCACTAGTATTAAGCAATTGATGTACACTCTTCTTAATATTAAGATGATTGTTTTCGTCCAAAATTTTTTATTTTGTCATATTTTGCACTATGCATTGATTGATTGAAATTTACCACTTGAGCGCTAGCTGTAAAACTTGCAATGCTTTAACAGTTGTTTTCGTAGTGACACCCGTATTTTAGGCTGCAGTGAAATAAAACATCGGCCTATTGAGTAACTCGTCTTATCTATAATCGTGGGTTGAATGCAAAGAATAAGTTGGTATTACCACCTTTTTATCAATATCAAACGGCTATCACTATCTTTTAGTCTTATGTTATTGTACAATTTTAAAAATTATACCACATATAAGATGAAATTATCATATCTTATTTTACTTGTAATTGTAAAGTATTAGCACAGATAAAATAAAACTTTATTGATAAAGCTTCATTTCATCTATGGTATTAGAGATTAAATTAATTTATACGTAAACTAGGCTCAGTTGATGAATTACTGAACTTTCTAGGGGTCCAGTTCCATCTTGCATTTCAAATTGTACCTATGTCGTGGCCTCCAAAGAAGCATGTTTTCCTGGGCGAAGACCTCGATTATCGTACTTTGATTACTGGGTATTTGAGGAGACAGTGAAACCAAAAATATTAAATATCCCCCCTCCATGGATAAATTGTGCAAACGCCCTTGTGAAATTATATACAATATTAATAATCATGGAAATAATAATAAAATATTTCATCTGATTAATACAGAAACTCATACACGGTTATTTTTTCTTTTTCTTTTCCAACTTTGTTATTCCAAAGTATAATTACATGATTTTTTTTAACAAAGACGGTATTATAATTAAACATACTATCTCTTAGGTCGTCACAAAAAAAAAAAAAATTGAGATGTTATTTCAAAAAATGGTGGTGATAATAAATTAAAATAAAAAATAGAAAAATAACCTTATGTGAGTGTCCGCCAGAAACTTTCTGAATCAAGCCATCGATTTGTTCTTATAATGATATCGAATACGCGCCATTGTTTGGAATGAAACATATACAAATATCTCTGATAACAGTGAATAATATTCTAAACTATATAGTTCTTAATAGAATATATCTTTGAAAATTCGTATCATTACAAAAGAAGACGGCTGGTAATGAGAATTTATAAGTTTTAAAATCACTAGAAAACAGTAGTTTGACGTACATAATTCGGAAATAAAAATTGTTAATAAATTATATTTAATAAAGTATTTATATTTTATATATTTTGTCAATAAAATACATTAGACATGTTTGACACTAGTTTAAACGGTCAACACTGCTAAATTGTTAAGCAGAGCTGCTGCTGCGTATGATCATGAATGTGTCCGAGTTTTCAAGTTCCACCCGCGCATTTCTTGAATACGATTTAGTCACGCTTTAAAAGTGTAGTTGTGGTTACTGACATTGCTGAGTTTTTGTCTTGAAAGTCTGCGAGTTGAAATTCCAGGTAAGCTTTGCTGTAATATTTCTTTCAAATAAAATTTATACAAAAANTTTGCTGTAATATTTCTTTCAAATAAAATTAAAAAAAAATATATAGAAATTAAAAAATTGAAATGAGGACGTACGATTATTTTAGCAGTTTTAAATTCAATGACGGTGATATAGTCCATTTTTTTATTATTTAATTACCTCTATTTTAAAAAATAATTGTTTGTATTAACCGTTTTTCTTTTACTAAAAACCAATTATTTTCAATTAATTTTTAAACATTAAAATTAAACAAAAATATATTTAAAAAAAATAATGTGTATAAATTTAATTGTCTACAAAAATTAACTGTTTACATTAAATCAATTTGCAACTATATTGAACACATTAATTTATTACCAAACATATATATTATCAATGAACAATTAAATAACAATTTTACATAGTTTAAAATCAATTTTAATCCTTTTATGAGTTAATTAAAATAATATTGTAGCAACCAAAAGGTGTTAATTTTTTGTATCAGTGTTTAATATACATTTTATAATGTATGAAATATATTAATTTCAATGTGGCAAAAAGAATTCATAAAGAACTATATTTTAGAAATTTGATCTGAAAACTGGTAAAAATAAATCATAAGACGGAACTAGGTTCTCTGAAATTATTGTAATATGCAAAACAACCAATATATGGAGTTCAAATAAAATTAATGGCGCATATAATATTTGTAGAAAAAGTTCATCATTTAACTTTAAAGATACAATTCGAAACAATGAAAAAATTAAGCGCGTATTTATAATTGGGTCGTGAATTCTGAAAATGCTCGCCATATTTTATGAGGAGTTCCCCATAGAATATGCCCCTCCATAATGAATATCTTAATCAGTGACGGCTCGGGGTTTGGACGGTGGGAAGATCGCACCCCTACTAAAATTAATTAAAAGAAGAAAATTGACTGTATATTCTTAATTCTACATTTTTATTAAAAATGCAAATTTTTAAATAGTAAAATAGTTATAATACACTTGTCGTGTGTGAACAGTTGTTTCCCTTAGTATATACGGGAACGCATGTACACACGAGCAGCGGTTGTATGTTCGACTGTGTCGTCCGGGCAATATTCTGAAACGTTTATTACAAGCGAGGCGCTGCTTTTGTGTGCGTGAGGATTGGGTCAATCTTATGTACTGATTTTGGACGACCGGTAGCGTCGTCCATACAGTAAAATATTAGTATAGTACTATTATAGTAATATATAAAATAGTATATAGAGGTAGATACTTATATAATATTGGGTAATTTAATTTTAGAATTAACTGCGTGCTCGTCGTTATTGGTTGCTATAAAGGCGCGCGTCCTCACTATCAGCAACCACGGCCGTCACTGATCTTAATACTAAATTAAATACCTAAATCTATGAAATTTTTTATTTTATTAACAAAAAAATAACAGCAAAATACTCTAGGTATGTATCCTAAGCTTAATTTAACGAATATTTGGGTGATTGGTTTATCATAAACCAATTGCAAAATACACAATATTGGGAAAAATATTTAAATTTTTTTCAGTTGCATTCAGTTCATTACTTTATACGATCATCACTTATAACTTAAAGGGATATCAACATTATTTTTTTAAATAGTATCTCACATGATTACCAAAAGTTGTTGTCGACCAGTCATTTTCTTAATTACATAATTTTCTATTTTATAAGTTAACTAAATATGTATGTTACCGTTTCAAAAAATAAAGTTACGTACGTACACATAATATGGAATGATCCTAAAATGTAATTAATAGCAAATTAATCAAGAAATTAACGCAACTAAAAAAAATAAAAACTTTTTCCAATATTGTGTTTATTTTGAGAGTGGTTTATGATAAACCACCGATTACTAGGTGATAGGTAGTGAATTCGGGTCTTATTTTCCATCTTGTTAGTTATTAAAAAACTTAGAGGAGAAGAGTCATTTATTAGTCTGTCCTCTTTTCTAACTAAACTTTACCTGCAAATAGAAAATTAAAAGTAGTATTGGACTTACCATGTAACGGAATATAAAAAGTGTTGATACCACATTTTATCATTTATAATATTTGTGGTTTTGAGAAATTTCATAATAAATATGATTAATGCTATTATAGCCCCAGATAGCAATTAAAAAAAAACATATGATAAAAACATTATAACATTATTTTAAAGAAAATGCTATCAGGAAGGCAATGTTAAAATTTTTCTTTCCTAGGCAATTCAAATTTTTAAACAGCTATAGTAGGGTCTTTTGCCCTACACCATTTATTTTAATTATCAGATTATTCTACTCACACTTATTGTTTTTTAGGCTTTTTGTGGAATATATATCAATTAATTAGTTAAGCTAATGTATATATTAAACATATTATATTGACATGTAGGATTTTTGTATTATTTTTTATAGTGTATTGATTTATAAGTGATTAAATATTATTTTTGGTCCATCCCCTGTCCCTTATAAGGGTATCAACTTTATTTATTAAAATAGAAACATTAATATTTACCTATCTTTTAAAATAGATAATGATCTAATTAAGAAAATGACTAATCAATATCATTTTTTGAATCAATATTTCTAGAACTATTAGCATTTTAAAACACGGACAGTGATGAAGTGTGGGTTATGTTGCGATTCATTTCTTTACCACGCTACTCCTCACATATAGGTATAAAAGTAAAAACTTCTAAATAATTGGTAATCGTTTTCTTAATTAGATAATTTTCTATTATGCTAGTTATATATGTATATTGTAATTTTAAATAATAATGTAATTAAAAGCTTTAAGGGATGAATCGAAAAAAAACTTAATAAATGTTAAATTGAGAAATAAATACTAATAAATAAGTTGTAAATAAATTCTCTAAATTATTATTACTTTTGAAAAAATATAATGGTCAAGCATAAACCAATCATGTACATTACTCAATCTTTAATATCATCAATTTTGTACTAAAGGCAACAAAGTATTTTTTTTTAAAAGATAACAACAGACTTACGCACAGTTTTAATCGCAATATTCACCCAAGATGATACAATGAATTTTGAAGATGTTCGACTTCCCTCTTAAATCGCTCTTGATCTCAACTATAGTAAGGTATTGTGTGTATTGCTTAAATAAAAACAAAAGCACAATAAATAAGAGGAAATTCGTACCTTAGCTTCTCAAGTTAACTTTCGTCGTAAAATACAGTTATAATAAAGAAATAATGAATTGAGTGGATAAAGTGTTCACTAATATCTTCAAAACTATCCAGGAATGCATTTTATAAGAATAACTTCATCATCAATAAAAATAAGAAAACACTATAAAAAACAACATTTTATGAAAATAAATAATTATGTATTCGATCTGATATTTTTGGTTTTAACAAATAAAAAATAACCTTATTATTAACTTTAAAAATTATATAGATAAATTTATGGTTCACTCAAAATCAAAAAATTTAACAAAATTACTTTTATTAAATTAAACATTAAAGTTTAGAAGTGTTTATAAAAAGAATTGAATTAAAAACAAATTTAGACTTTGGCAAAAATTTGATTACAATTTAACTTTTGTAAATAAAATTTGTTGGGTCACAATTGATAAAATTAATAATAACAATAAACATAAATATCATAATCGCAAAGTTTTTTTTTATTGAAGGCCTTTTATTTTTATACTTGTAAAAATTTATATTTTAGTACAAATAAAGACAAGTAGTCGTATATTTTTAACTAATGGGTATTAATAAAATTATATTGTCAGAACGTGTTCGAACAATTAAATGCAAATAATATTATAGTTACAATTACAATAATTTTATTTAAATAAAAATGAGTGCGTGTTACGAGTACGCGCGGACGAAGTGAAACTTCATTCAGAGTCATTCAACTAATAGAATATTAGGTTTGTATTGGGATAAAATTAAAAAAAATACACGTAAAAATTTCATTTTCAATTGAAATTAATTAATTTTATTTTTTTATGTGAAATAATATATAATAGGCTTATGGTAAATGAAATAAGTGATGTAATTTTTTGATTGAATGTTATTAATATATTGTCTGAAAATTGCAACTGTTATGGTTCCTGATCGAGTTGTTAGAATTTTTGGATCATTATTCATTGATAAATTGAGATTTTCACGCAACTATTTTTTTAATGGTTATGATCTATTTGATGCGAAATTTACATTAATGTTTCCACTCAGATTCGTAGGGAATTTATCTTTTCTGCTGCCGAGTAATGCTGCTCCTTTAGTAGTAAAGGTAAGCAGCGATCTATTTAAAAAATAAATTATATCATCTAATTTTGATTAGGTGAGATATAAACTTCTTGAACTAAATAACTGTGATTGTCCTATTGTCATCTCAATCGATGGAGTGACAATATTAACTATGTCGTTATTACGATGATAAATAGTTACTCCTGCAGATCTGACGTTTGGTCTCTTGTATTTAATGATACAACTAAAATAAGGGATTATAGTATTCTCGTTTTCATGTTCCCAAGTCTCAAATGAAATTAACATTTTCGAATTTTGAAGGACGGTATCAAGGATGTCTAATGAATGAGCTTGGAGACTTTGACAATTTAGACTATAAATTGACATTCCGATTGGTCCTTAATAAAATCGTTTATTTGTTTGTCAATTGTGACTAAAGAGCGAGTGTAAAGTATTGTAAATTTTTCACGAAGTCGCCTTGTGGAGTCAGATGTTTTCCTTCTATGATAAAACGTCAAATCTTCATCATTTTTAGTAATAATGAACAGTCCGTGAAGATCAGTAACTCGTGACAAAGCTACTTATAGTAACGATTGCGGGTGTTTGTCGTATTCATACACCACTTCAGCATACGTGCTTTTTGAGATTTATAGCCTTGTGCAATAGTCGTTGCACAAGTAAACGACTATTAGTACACGTTAAATTTACGTATTCTTGTGTAAAATTATTAAAAGTTATATTTGATAAGGACGTTATTTTACTCACAAGTAGTGTAACTTTGACCATAAACATTGAAAATGTCTACAAATTATAACATTTGTATTACGATTTAACAAAATTCTCTCTTATACTGTGTGCGTTAAAAACTTGCAGTATATGTCTGAAAATTTGGTAATTTTTTTTAAGAACGTTTTAATTGTTATTATAACAATCGACAATAAGGTCTATCAAATTCTGAAATTAAAATTTATTGAATATTTTCGGAGTGTATACTTTTTAAAGAATACAACTCAATGAATAAATCAAATTTTAATTAAGTTGAAGTTTTGGCTGTATGTAAACTCCGATAAAAATAACCCTTCCGAAATTTTACAAACAGGTTATTTTTTATCATAAGCCACTCAATTACTTACAAAATAACAAAAGTTTTTCTGGTTACCTTTAGTTATATATTATTCTTGAACTATTAGCTATGTCATACTTTTTATGTTCATCCTTTTTGCATTGTATGGGTGTCAAATTTGTTTTTTAAAATGGAAACACATATTTTGAATTTTTATTTTAATAATAAATAGTATTTACATATTTAATATAAATTTATTCGTTTATTGGATATAGAACTTAGAAGTTTTAAATTATTGAGTTATTTACATGTATTATATATGAGGGTTTACAAGTACAGGTAGCCAATTGTTTTTTTATAAAGTTTTACAGCATTCATTATCAATGGTAGTAAGACACATTGTTGTATGTTTATAAATAGACCAACTGACAATACATACTGGCAAAAGCTTTTCTATCGATGATGTCATAATTAACAATAAAAGTTCCGTATCTGTGATAGCGACGTCATAAAAACCAATTAGCTGCCTGTATTTGTAATCCTTCATATATAATACATGTATACAACTCAAAATTTGAAACTTAAAAGTTTTAAATCTGATAAACGAATAATGTTATATTATTTTTCTTCTTATTAGTCAGCTTAATAGTCCATTCAGAACCAGCACTGCTATGAAAATCTATCTCTCTGATACTCTGTCTCTAAGGTTGCGTTCTGGTTTATCATTACTATATCCTTGGTAATTACGTCAATCCATCGGGTTTTATGTCGTCTTTGGAGTCTTTTATTTATTTTATTGATTAGCACATTTTTAATTAACTGCCCATCTGCTCTTCATACATGCCCTAACCATTCTAATCGTTTTCTCCTAATAAAAGAGAGTATGTTTAGCTTATTATAAAGAATCCTTCTTAACTGAGTGTTTTTTACGAGATCAGGTTGTTAGCCCGAAGTTCAACCCCCAAAACTGGAGGACCATTTCACACCAACCATTTAAGGTAAACGTGGGGCTATTACTACTTCGTAGTACATTGGCGATGGGAGCGCCATTATTCCTATACCAAAGACTGGGGTTCACAGGTTAGTCACACCCATTACCAATTAAGGTACTCAATGCAGGAGAATAAAGTTATATTAAATATTTGAATTATATTAACTATTAAAATAAAAATTTAAAATATGTGTTTTCTTTTGAAAAAACAAAGTTGACACCCTTACAATGCAAAAGGGATGAACTTAAAACATATGACATAGCTAATAATTCAAGAATAATATGTAACTAAAGGTAACCACAAAAAAAATGTTTTATTATTTTTATTTTGTAAGTAATTGAATGGGTTATGATAAAAAAATCACCCTTTATATAAATTCCGATAAATCTGGAAAATTACATTTTATTAACTACGACAATAATATTCTATTCAAATTTTACATATGTAGTCTCTAACAAAACTATATTTCAAAACTATGACAAATCATACAAGTAAATGAATATGTTTATTAGTTAGAACTCCATAAAAAATTAAGGATATTGTATAAATTTATATTGAAAAAAGCACCAAATACAATTCAATGGTATATAAAATAAAATAAATTAAAATTATATGAGTACAATTATATATTTTTTGTTTATTTTTACTTTATTATCCATTGAATACTTTATATAATAATATTAATATTACAATTTACCTATTGTCTAATTTAAATACTTGACTACGATCCATTATCTTCTTTTTACTTCACACAAAATGTTATTATTATACTAAAACCCTACAATTCACTTATAAACATCAACCAATTACTTAGGTTTCAATCAATTTTTAGAAAATTTTATTTTTCTCGTAGTTTATAACATGTAGATTATCAGTTTTTTTTTTTTTGAAGTTAACAATTTTCCGAATTTTTTACTTTGAAAATTATATATCTGTTGTGACAGGAATGTTCAAATAGAATAATTTCATAAGAGGCTTGTAATAAAAGCATAATGATAAAATCATGAATAATATTCATCATGTTAATATTATTCAAATGTAGTACAAAATCAAGTAGTATCAAAGCTTAACAAACTATGTATATTGGGTACAAGAATAAAATTGTATACTATGAATTTATAATACACATTGTAATTAGTAAACAGTAACCAACAATTCGGTAAAATATAAATTTATAATATTTTTGTATACCGATTTTTTTAACGCAAAATAATTAGCTTGTGTAAAGTCAAATATGTATATTACAATAAAATACAATAATGTAATCAATAATGTTATATAAAATAATAGTATATTGTTGGACATTTTGTGAGTGGAGTAATAAAATGCACTCATTTTAATTTTATTGAAAGGAATAAATTGAATTCAACTGTTAAGAAAATTTTGAATTATTACCAAAAAGTAACTTTCAAAGTTTAAACCATTTACCATAGATGCATAATTATTTATAATTGAACAAGTTGTATGGCCTTAGCCAGATATAATTTGTGTTATTATTGTATAATTTTCTATACAAATCTTAAAGTAATAAGATCGAGAATCAATTTCAAATAATATTTCATTTCAATAAATTAGTACACTAAACTTTCTAAAACTATGTAATTACACTATTTTCATCATACAAACTCACAAAAGTAATCATGCAGAAATATTTAATGTTAAACATGATTTAATCTCTTAAATATTTTAAAATAATAATGAAATTGAAATTGAAAATTATGGTAATATTTATGTGAATATACATACTAACATACTTAAAAAAATAAACATAATCAATAAAGGCTTTCAATTAATTATAAATCATCAAGGATTTTAGCTCAAACTGTATTTTGGGCATTGGTTTTAAGTATATTTAAAACGGTTAAATTCAGGTTTTATTGCAGTAAAGTTTTTTAAATTTTTCAGTTGTATAATAATTTATTGAAAACAGTTTAACTAAAATAATTGAAGTTAAAAAAGTTCTTTGATTAAAAACTATTAATAATTTTATATACAATTTGTAACAATGACACCACAC